AGTAAAGAAATCTTATTAGAGTAACATGCATTTCAAGCAGAAATGACTTAATGCACTCCATGCAACAACTGGCTGTCTAGTAGGAAATGTTTCTTCATGTTTTCATATTGAAAACATGATATAGAAAACAACTGCAGGTAATATAGAAAAGCATTTCTGTTTTAAAATTGAAAGGGCTTTGAGCTTTCCATTTTCTTAATAGTTGTCCCTGTGGGGCATTTTGAAACTTAAATCCTCACATAAAGAAGAGTTCATATTCCGTAGGTGTGAGAAATCTGGAAGAAATGCTGAAGGTGATTCATGGGAAAACATGGCTAAAATGCTTCACTCAAGATGAATGGAGGTCTTTTTCTACTTTTATTATTCCTAGTAAAGTACAGCATATGCTATTTACCAGCTGTCAATTCTGAAATAAAATATTTCGGTTTACTCTGTACCCAAATTTGATATTTTAGTTCCTTTATGTCTTTGAAACTGTAGCATATTTAGCAAGGATAGAGAGAAGTGCCCAGAACAAGCCAAATCAGGCACTGAATATGCGGATGGTATGAGAAATGGTAAGCTGATTTTTACGTATGTAATCACATTATGGTATTTTATTTACATTAACAGCACAGTTGATCTAGCTACACTGATAGAACATATTATTTTGGACTCAGGTGGGAAAAGAATGATGCTAAGGTTGGACTGAGAAAAGGGCACATGATATGGTAGACTGAATGAACAGTCATGGTGGGAGAAGTGGGGAGAGCATTATGATGGAAGAGGATCTGTTCTCAAATGGTTATCAGCTGTCCTTTACATTGTATTTGCTTCACAAAGTCATGTACTAACACATTGTTGCATTTTTTACAGTTTTGTTTTGGCTTACCTATCTTGTGGTAGGTGTCGACAGTCTTTGTTAAAGAAGTGCAGTTTGATTGGGAAACTCGCTTGTTGTTGTTTTGTTTGTCTATATGGTGAAGTGAATTGAACTCTGATTTATCATCAAGGAAAATTAGCAGGGTTGATTCAAATTGGGTTATGGATATCATCATATTATCAACCCAATCAGAGACGAAAATTTTCGTCCCCATTCACCACGAGACAAAGACGAAAATTTTGTCTCATTGTTTTTTTTTTTTTTGGACGAAACATGTATTGGAACAATAGTATTCTTTTGTAGACAAAAATTTCTTGACTAATTAATAAGTGAAGTTATAATTGTGTAAGCCATATTTTTCAAATTTAAATTCTTAATTATTGATTATTAACTCATCTAAATCCTGTAATTATAATTAAGAGGATTGAGATAAGGATATACAGTGGATCTAGGGTTTCTCAATAACAATTTATTCAAAGAGGATCCAGGAAATTAATTAATATAATAATTTGAGTAAATAAACTTTTAGAAAGAGGATGAACAATTGATTTGATATGCATAACGAGAGTTAGATGTATAGTCAATTCAATTTAACACATGATTTCAACGCCAAAACACAACATCACATCTTAGATTTCATAATTTTATCCACCCATCAGTCATAGCAATATAATTCATTATAACAATAAAAAAATCTCTAATTTTGTTGTCATCTAAAGTATTGCTCGGTGGCTTCTTCAAGCACTAACATTATTCATTCATAAATGCATTTTTTGAAATTACAAAACATTGGCACCCTGAGATGAACATCAAATACATGCAATTTTACAAGATTTTACATATAATCGACTAACTATTTCATGATCAATCACTTATGGAGATGATCTACAACAAAATAGTAACAGGATGTTGTGCACAACTCAACAATATAAAACCATCTACGACGCCAATAAGGGTTTATCAACAAAACTGCAACTCCCTAGAGCATAACAGATAGGACACAAAAACTGATATAGAAGAAAACAATAAGCATTCATATCAATGAATCATGTCTCTCCACTATACTTGAATCTTTGGTTGTGATTCAATTGCATTCAACTTTTGGCAATGGTTGTCCACAAGAATGGATTCCCTCGATAGCTACTTCTTCAAAGGTTCCAAATGTGCAATCCTATCAGGGAGTTTGCTGATAAATTATTGTGTGCCACACTAAAAACAGCCAATTTTTAACTCAACAAGCTGGGGAGGGATTTTCCCAATCAAATTGTTGTATGAAAGATCTAAACTCTCGATCTGCTTGAGATTTGAAAATGTCGATGGGATTGGTCCTGTCAAGTTGTTGTGAGAGAGGTTAAGTGTATGGATTCCTACAAGTTTTCCAATTTGATTAGGAATCATACCAACTAACTTTTTGTTGGAGACATCAATTCCAGACATATAGCTAAGAATTCTTCCTTGGTAAGAGTAAGATCTAGTCTTTGTTGTAAACTCTACAGTTTCTTCCTTTTCAAGAGGCATATTGCTCAGCCTTTCAAAAAAAGGTACATAATTAGATGCAACAATGACTATTGTGATATTTAAACAAGGAGGGATATGCCCAGAAAGCTTGTTGTGAGAAAGATCTATCAAACGTAATTGACTTAACTTACACAAATGATTTGGCACTTCACCTTGAAAATTGTTATTAGTCAAGATAAGGTAAGTTAAATTAGAAAGTGTACCAATCCAATCCGGAATGTTGCTTTCAAAGTGATTATATCCAATATCTAGCATCTGTAAAGAAGAACTATTGGATAATCCATCATTTAGTTGGCCCTTCAACTTATTTTTTGACAAATGAACTTGTTTAATTGAGGAAGGCGGAAAGCAAAATGGTAAACTCCCAGTAATATTGTTCTCTGAAAGGTCTAATACTTCAAGACTTTCTAGTTGACAAAACTCCAATGGGATTGGACCTTCAAGATGATTCTTTGACATTATAATATCTATCAAAGATGACTGATATCCTAACCACCTTGGTAATGTGCCAACAAGATGGTTATCACTTACATACAACCCTTGCAAGGAGCAATTAGACAAACTATCTGGGATCTTTCCAGTGAAATGATTGCCATCCAATTGTAAATATAACAAGTTTTTTAGGTTAAAATTTGCAGGGAATATCTGACCTTGCAAACTATTGTTTGACAATGCAAGGACTTCTAATAAGATGCAATCCATGGCCAAATGCTCAGGTATTCCTCCAGTCAACAAATTGTTAGACAAATCCAAATACCCCAACGACTTCATGTCACCAAACGAAGAGGGAATGCTACCATTTAAAGCATTTCTAGAAATGTTTAAAGTTTGTAGCATTGGTAGATAAGCTCCAAATTCCGTTGGAATATGCCCATGGAAGGAATTGATGGATATATCTAATTCTTGCAAAGACATGTGAGGATGAATTGGTAATTGCAAAGGCCCTGAAAGAGAATTATTAACTAGATAAAGGCTTTCTAGCTTGGTGTTGTTGTTTAACAACCAAACTGGAAACTTTCCCTTTGAATTAATGTCAGAGAGATCAACCACTTGTAAGTCATGCTGACTGTAGAGAAATTTGGGAAATGAACCACTAGATCCACAATTGGATAATTTGATCACATTTAATTGAAATTTTGGGGCCAGATATTGTGACTCAATTCCTGCATATATTTCATTACCATCACCATTGAACTTCTTAAGCTTTGAGTGGTTAAAAAATGGTTCAAGGGAAACAGGGATTTGAAAATGATTGTCTGAAAGGCTTAATTCTTGGATGGATGTCAGCACCTTAAGGGGAGATAAGGAGATATTTCCCGTAAAATTATTTGATGAGATATCTAGATATAGAAGGGAAGTCAAGTTTGCTAAAAACCAAGGCAAGGTACCCGTAAAATCATTGTATGAGATATCTAGATATTGAAGGGAAGTCAAGTTTGCAAGACAACAAGGCAAGGTGCCTGTTAAACCATTGAACCCCATGTTTAAGTGCTGAAGATTGTATGAGATATCTAGATATTGAAGGGAAGTCAAGTTTGCAAGACAACAAGGCAAGGTGCCCGTTAAACCATTGTCCCTCATGTCTAAGTGCTGAAGATGAAGCATCTTACAAATTCCTGAAATAAAAAATGTTCCTTAATAGTTACTATATGAAGCACAAGGGTAATAATAGTCATGCAAATGTTACTTAATCAATATGCTTAATAATTATTGTAGTGCACAAATTTAATAAATATACTAGCTATGTGAGCTATTTTTTTTTTCTTTTTTAATAGAATTATATACATAAATTATAAATTTTACTTGTAAGGAGAGAGAAAAGTTACTAACCTTTGTCAAATAGAGTGTCGCTGATGTTGAGGTTACTCCTTGAAATTTCAATAGATTGAAGAGAAGTCATACCCTCAATCATTTGAAGAAATTTGTTGTTAAAAACAGTGTCGGAAATAGTTAAATTTGTCAAATTCTTGAACGAAGGTAACTCTACAAAAGCACAAAAGTAATAAAATATTGTTCAATAATCTACACTAATTATTTTAATATTCTAAATTGAAAAAGAATATTCAATATGGTATAGAGGCTAAACTAGAAAAAAAAAAAATTCAGCAGGGTTAGATAAAATCTTAAATACAAATATATATGTATATTTCAAGGTTTTTAAAAGGCTTTTGACAATTTCATGTGAGTATTTAAAAATTGTAAGAGATCTTTGAGACATCTAAGACTTTACCATCTTTTAAGTTGATCATAAATCCTAATCTTTCTAGTTTTATTTTTTTGCTTTTAACAAAAGGGTAATGTTGGTTGCAATTTGCTCTGTAATTTCTTAAAGAGGAGTCCGTACTTTTTATTTAGTCTAAAAAACAAACAACCTGTTTTAGACTTTCTATGGGACCACTTTAATTCCCAAAAAGGATATTTCAACTAAAATTTACCCTTGAATTTTGAGAACCAATTTCAATAAAATATTTTACTACTTTTATATCCTTATTTAAAATAGGATATAGGGGTTAACCTGAAAAAAAAAAAAAAAAATGAGGCTAAAAAGCATATCTTTTATTTAATGTATCACGGCCAGTAGTGGCTTGAAAAGCCCATGATTTAGGAAAATTGATGGGGGCTACAAGCACCTTGGCAAATCAGATAAGGGCCTCCTTAGAAAGTAAAACAGTTCTTTCTCATATCTCTTTCTTATATTTTCTATTTGCAATATATAAGATATTTTTCCTNTGAGAGATGAATGTTGGCTCAAAGCTGATAAAACATGGCTGTCATTGAACATATTGTAGCTAAGGTCGAGATCCACGAGATTAGTCAAGTGTGATAATCTTTCAAAACCTACAAAGCAATTCTTGTTAATAAAGACATGGAAGTAAAATTTCATTATTTAAAAGTGAGGATGGAATAACCTTCATTCTCAACGCAACTGACTATGAGATTGCCACTTAAGTCAAGTGTCTCCAGTTCTAGGAAGGGAGAAAACAAAGAAAAATTTAGATACCACTCTCCTAATTCTCGATTTCTTGTGAATTCAAGATCAAGAGAGATCACTCTACCCGTTGTGTTATTGCAAATAACACTTTCCCAATCACAACAGTTTGAATTTCCATTTCCCTCAAACCAATTTTGAAGACGGTTAGGATCATTGAAGAAATGTTTAAGTTGCAAGAGAGCAGATCTCTCTTGCTTCAGACACCCTTCAATCCTCCTTCCTTGTAAAGAAATAAATATCAAAATCAACATCAGCCACATCTTCACACATTTTAACCCCATCTCTTAATAACACACTAATTGCGTTGCTTCTGTGACTACTAAGAGATTAGCTTTGTGCTATTTATAATATTATTGGATCTCAATATTGTATAGACTAAAAACATAGAAGTATTGCCTTTTCAGTGAATAACTTCATTTGCTGTAGGACATAGAAGAGGTTAATAAGGGCAAAATTAATGTTGGTCCCCACTGTTGTGGAAGGAAAATTCCCATTGACTGCAACTAGCTTGGAAAAATAAAATTAGTTGGTTTGAGAGTGCTTCCATTATGCGGTTTGAGATTGCTTCCTCTACCATAACTAACAACTTCATTTGCTATAAGACATAGAAGAGGTCAATAAGGGCTAAATTAATGCTGGCCCCCACTGTTGTGAAAGAAAAATTCCTATTGACTACAACTAGCTTTGAAAAATCAAATTACGCAGTTTGAGACTGCTTCCATTACGCGGTTTGAGACTGCTTGCTCTACCATTACTAATTTAATTAAGTAATATTATATTGTTAAATAAATTATATAAAACATTTTATTTTTATATTGTCATATAGTGTGTTGTTCAGTGAATCAATTTCTTTATACTTAATAATTTTAATTTATATACATCCAGATAGTATATATGAAAAGGCATAGGCACATAACCACTTTTGAAATGAAGTTAATTATTAATCATTTTTTATGATAAATTACAAAAACAATACTTAGATAATATTTTTTATGAGTCAAGGTCAACTAAAGTAACAAGTTTCTTAGAATCTCTCTATACATTATTGCTAGAAGTCCTTTTTCACCCAATTGTTTTCTTCAATTATAAATGATGAACAATTCAATTTAGGTTTTTAATTCTATTACATCGGACACATTAGTGTTCATGAGATCTTTCGCTCCTTTTTTCCAAAGGTTTATTATAAATTTATATCCTTGTTTCCATGGTGTATGAAGTAAGCCCAAATTATCTTATCCTCTCTTAATTTTATAGCTTTTTGTTCTTGTGGGTTTTGGCTATTAACATTTTCAATTTCTAAATGGTTTTTTATTCCTCCAGGACCAACTTGTGGAAAAAAATGTTCAAATGGTGGAAAAACCAATTGGCACTGGTCATAACATCTATTTCATGAAGACTTACTCAAATATCATGACTTTTGAAACTTAATGCAATTTCCATACTTGATTTTCCAAAGGGGCAAAAAGTCTACCCAAAATTTATTTAATGTAGGGCCAAGTTATGGAAGAAAGATTGGAAAAACCAATTATCACGACTCAAAGACATCAATTTCATGAAAGCAAATCCAACATAAGAATAGGCTTTGACATAATCATTTTATCTTATTTTAATTATTAAAACTATGTAATTCAATATAGATATTGTTGCTCGATGCAGTAATTGTTGATCGATGAAATAGAAACAATCACCTAAACATAAAAATTTAATCATGGATGAAAGGAAATATATCATGAAGTAGACTTCCAGAAACATTGATACATAAACAATAAAAATAAAAATAAACATTCATTCTTGCCCTCTTAATCTTCTCATTAAATTGATTTTCCTATTATTTTCTCTAGAATACCTACTTAAAGAAGATCATCACATTAAGGTGGTGCTGATCCATCATTAAGCAAGCAAATCCCTTTTCTTGTTCTCTAGGAACTTTAATCTGTAACTAATAATTAATAATAATAAACACAGTTTACATCCAGAACTTGAACATTGCATGACAGAAATCCAAAGCCATCCTTCATATAGAAATATTCATTAAAAACAAATACTTAACTAGAGACCTAAATCATCCAATCTACGAAATAGCCAATAAGCCATTAAATTAATAAAATCAATTAACACCTGAACAGCTGAACTCAAAGAAACATATCTGTACAAAGCACTAATAATATATCCATAAAGTTCATAGAACAAAATAGGGCATGAGGAGCATAAATCCACCTCAATCAAAAGAATATCTTGTCAATTTAATATCTCTCCATGTCTGAGCATGTGCTTGTTAAGTGTACATGAATAGAGATAGACAATGTTACTCATGTGCTTTGCCATATTTTTTATGGGTCAAGGTCAACATCTATTTCATGAACATTGACTCAAACATCTTGACTCTTGAAACTTAATGTGATTTCCATACTTGATTTTCCAATGGGACAAGAAGTCTACAAAAAAATTTTAATGTAGGGCCAAGTCATGGAAAAAAGGTTCAAGTTGTGGAAAACCAATTGTCACGGCTCATAAACTTCTATTTCATGAACATTGACTCAAACATCTTAACTCTTGAAACTTAATGTGATTTACATACTTGATTTTCCAATGGGGCAAGAAGTCTACACAAAAATTTTAAGGTAGGGCCAAATCATGGAAAAAAGGTGATTTCCATACTTGATTTTCCAATGGGGCAAGAAGTCTAAACAAAAATTTTAAGGTATGACCAAATTATGGAAAAAAGGTTCAAGTTGTGGAAAACCAATGGTCACAGCTCATCAACATCTATTTCGTGAACACTGACTCAAACATTTTGACTCTCGAAACTTAATGCGATTTCAATACTTGATTTTCCAATGGGGCAAGAAGTCTACAAATGTGTAAGTCATAGAAGTCATAAATTACTCCAAATTTCAATCAACTCATCATGGCTTTCAGGTTCATTACCCGGCTCCACAAGCGAAACAGAAACCTACAAGAGAGTGAATAATCAAAATGCTGAAAGTTGTTGATATAGAAAAAAACAGAGAATATCTATGAAAATGTTTCAATATATTAAAATAGTCAAATCACACATGAATAAGGGACTTCTTTGAGTGAAAAAGCTGTACCTGCATACAACGAAGAATGATTTCTGGAAGACAGCACCTACGACAAAGTCCCCGTATAATATATGTCGCTGGACCTTCCAAAGAACCATCTTCACTTGAATACCAAGCATCCAATCGACATATCTCCATTGTAACTCCTGGTTGGAACCGAACAAGCTCCCCTGCATTAAATGATTACAAGTTCAATAAGCACTTAAATAATACCATCATAAAACAAGCACAGTTGCAACCACATGCATGCTTGCCAGAAATGTAGCCTCAGTAGTATTCTTTACCTTTAAAGCCAGCTGCCATCACAGTACCAAGAATGCCACCATCATTTAGGTCATGAGACCCAAGTCCATCACCCTCTACTGCCAAACAGCGAAGCACAACCTCGATGCAGTAATTGTTGCTCGATGAAATAGAAACATTCACCTGAACATAAAAATTTAATCACGGACAAAGGGAAATATATCATGAAGTAGACTTCCAGAAACATTGATACATAAAACAATAAAAATTAAAATAAACATTCATTATGCTACAGAGTACTTGTCAAACTCCACTCCTGCAATTCTTGCGAAAACAAGATGGTTTTTTCTCCATTCTTGCCCTCTTTAAGGTTCATGTGTGACTATTAAAAATATGAATTTGTGCCCCGTGATTATAGTTCTCCAATAATAATACTCATGTATTATCCGAGCAACAAAGCCACACAAGAAGGCTGCTGGGTAGAAGAAATAAAAGATTAGATAACAAAAAGATCCTATTCTTAACATATTTTCAAAATTCTACATCTTTTTCTCTCTCTTAATCTTCTCATTAAATTGATTTTCTCTAGAATACCTACTTAAAGAAGATCTAGTTGCAATAAATAAGATAATCACATTAAGGTTGTGCTGTTCCATCATTAAGTAAGCAAATCCCTTTTCTTTTTCCCTGGGAACTTTAATCTGTAACTAATAATTAATAATAATAAACACAGTTTACATCCAGAACTTGAACATTGCATGACAGAAATCCAAAGCCATCCTTCATATAGAAATATTCATTAAAAACAAATACTTAACTAGAGACCTAAATCATCCAATCTACGAAATAGCCAATAAGCCATTAAATTAATAAAATCAATTAACACCTGAACAGCTGAACTCAAAGAAACGTAGCTGTACAATTGTACCCAAATATCCTAATCATTATGCTAGGCATATGAATATTTCTTTTTCCAAGTTTTATTTTACACAACAATAATAAACATACCATTAATCGGCGATTTAGCACAACTTCCTCGCTCACTGTAGAATAAAGAGCACTCATTACTGCAGCACATATGGTGGCATCAGGACACATGCATTTGCCAGTAGGCAGGCAGATAATTGTTGTAGCATGCAATTCAAGGAATAATGGTTCAGTTGATTCATATATATGGTCTTAAAGGGAAACCCACCATGGATTTTCTTTTCCCGTATTAAGAATTTAAATCATCAAATGTCAAAGAACTAATAATATAACCATAAAGTTCATAGAACAAAATAGGGCATGAGGAGCATAAATCCTCCTCAATCAAAAGAATATCTTGTCAATTTAATATCTCTCGATGTCTGAGCATGTGCTTGTTAACTGTCCACGAAAAGAGATAGACAGTGTTACTCACGTTGAAGCAATACTAAAGATAAATTCAGTGTCTCTTGGGCTGCTGCAACGGCTCTTTGTTTTTCCTCAAATGAGAGTTCAGGGACATCAGCATTCTCTAATTCAATTTTAAGCCAGTTCCGATACGTTGCATCACAGGAATAGTACTCCCTCTACATAAATTAAAAAATACATATTTTTATTCATAGATAAATAATCAGGTCACAGATGCTAACCAAATTTCAAAATATAAACAGGACACATACAAAATGAAGCATACCCAGTCCTGGAACTCTTTTAGATTCTCAGAAACATAATCCTTAAGTGTATCAGGAGTTTCTGAAAGCTGCTTCAAAGGTTCAGCAAGGAAACTAAGTAATGGATGCGCACCTATAGGCACTACTGGCACTCTCAACATAGAAATTAAGGCAAACTCCCTGAATAATATGTTGCTGTCGAAAAAAGCATTGATTAATATCTGAAAGTGAATAAACATGCACTAAGGGTTTATTCCAATTTGAGCTTTTCAAGCATGCATAACCAAAATGCACTAGAGAGAACCTTCTGAACCAGGGGAGAAACAAAACAGAACAACTTTAAATGATTCATCAGTATGAGTGTTGAAGATTTTAATGCAATAATAATAACAATTTCAAACCAGTAAACACTGCCACAACCTAATACTGCCCATTTTAATGAAACAATTGCAACTACTCAAAGTTTCGAGATTATTAAACACTAATACTACAAACATAGGACTAGAATTACCTGTGTATCAATGCTCGCATAAGCAGTTTAGCACTGATATCTGCAACATCAGCAATGGTGGATGGAGGTGTAAAGCATAACCATTGGATTACCATAGCCTTTTGAAGACTCTGCAGCCGGTGCTGCTCTGCAACATCAGTTACTTTGTCATATTTCCCAAGTTGGATTTCCCGAGATCTTGACAAAACCCTGTTAGATTATATCATAAATACATCAACTCTTCATCAAAATCCTCATTGACTTTGCCACTACCTCGAGAAAGAAAACATGTGCTTCAGAAAACATATAACTACCTCTCAATAGTTTCTTCAAAACTGCCTTTTGAATCATCTCCTGGAGAAAAGGGCAAATACTCCATAGCAGAGAGGAAGATTTTATAGTTCACATGCACACTATCATAATGAAAAAGAAAATAATACTGCAAGTCAAAATAATGAAAAATTGCAGGGGAAAAAGCCAAAGATAATGTGATATATAGTCTAAAGAAAACTTATAATGATAGCAAAACATAATAAAGGACGAGGATGCAATAGAAGCATAACCTCCATAGGGAGTTATAGGCACTGGCTCTTTAGCCTTAGTTCCATCATGTGCACAAAGAGGTCAATACAATGGTGGCATCCAAGCTGGGAAGCATAAATCCCAACCAATTCCTCGTGTTGCTTCAAAAACAAAAACATCACATACTTGTTATCAGACATTCCAGCTCAGAAAATTATAAATAAAGAAACCTGGACCTCAAAATACAAAAGAGCATCGTCCTGGCTTTCAAACAAAATTAAGAAAATAAAATTCATATAGGATAACTGATACTACTGTCAACTATCTAGAAATATCACGGTTGTGACAAACACAAATGTTGGAACCGTACACAACCCGACATATGCTACACAAGCTCAGTAATCTGTATCTTTCCAGGAATTAAAAGAAAAATTCTAAACTTTAAGCACAGTTTGGGAAAAAGGCACAGACATCTAAAACAGCTGGGCTTATAATTACTTACATGTGTATAATGTGATCACCAACAATCATAAGCTCCTCCCTAATAGGATTATTCATTTCATCAGTAGGTAAATATCTCAGCACAAGCACTAGATGTGCCAAATTCCAGAATTGGGAAGATAGGTACCCACATGGGATCCTCAAACCCGGAAATAATAATTAATGTATCAAAAAAAATGCAGTTGACTAACACTCTTCATACATGATAAAAAATATTCAGTGCAATGTCTTGTCCTAGAAGAGGAGTAACCCAGTGATACAGAGTAAAATATTTGCATGCTAAGCAGAATAGAGGACCAAATTTTAAGTTCTTTGGTATCACAAACCAATGTCTAAAATATTCATCCAGTAAAAAGACATCTCAAACCCATAAGACAATAGTCCTAATATAATATAAAATTCCACTAAAAAAGGTATGCCATATTGCAACGTGCAGAATTTCACAAACTGAAGTGAATAAAATATTATATGAATTAGACAAAGTTTCACAAGGTAAGAATGCTAAGGAGTCAGATGCTGGCTATCTCTTCAACAGAATCTTGAATGAAATTTAAGAAAAAAAATTGAAAACAGCGAGGGGCAATCTTTAAAAGTTCCTTTAACCTCCCGTCCGTACAGATTGAAGCATGTGCTTAAGTTGCTACACTGGGCAGCATATACAGCTGTTTCATATTACCACCATCCTGTTCAGAAATTTTCTTCAAAAAAAGGGAGGAAAATTTCTGTTAGTTCAAGAAAATGAAGACTCACAGAATCTTTTGGAGGTAAAACTCCTAGTATGAAAAAAAGCACTCATACATTCTCAAGGGTTTCCACAGCAAAGTGTGAAAATTTAATTAAAAGGCCTATAAAATAATTCAGAAATCTTGCCTGCTCTAGAGAGACAAAGAACAGCATGATCAGATAAAGAGATAGTAAGCAACGGAATAGCATTAAATGTTACAGCACTCAATGTAATAAGCAAGAAAGCTCTTTGATGGCTGTTTTCAAGCTTACCTCTGATGTACAATAGGAAGCCCATTTCCAAAGACGCCACTGGTGACCAATACCATTTCCAGTTCAATGGCTTGAAGAGTTCTATTTTTTCCATTCTTCACCAGGGCTTCAACAGATGGAAATAGGTCCATTCCTCCAAAGGGCATAATGTGGAGCTCTCCATGGCTGCCAAAATTGGAGTATCTATGATGCCAGAAAAGGGAAATAAAACAGGAATTCTGCAATCAAAACTTCTCAAAAATATACCTGTCCAGCAGATCGGCAAAGTCACAGCTTCCAGTCTTCCAGCCCTTAATAGAGTCCAACATCTTCAAGGGATTCATCTAGCTTCTGTAGACATAAAACTGTTAATGCTACCTTAGACCAGAATTAGATGTTTAAGAAAACTCTGTCACAACTGGTACACAAAAATCTCACCACAGGTATATTGCAAATCAACAAGTTCCACTATAAGTAAAATTGAGATCTAAAAAAGCATGAAAATGGTGCACATCCTTTTGGTTGCATAGAACCGGAACAATTTAAGAAACTGATTGCCAATGTACCTGCAGCAGAAACGTGAAAAGACATTGGTTTCTATAATGCAACAATGTGGATCAAATAATGTCTTATGTTTAGACCACCACTTCCGTGAAATAGCAAAAAAATGCTTCATTCTACATCAAGGAGGACAGTTATCATACTTAAACTATAATGTATTTATAACATCCTTAATGCATTGATCTGTTCTCTAAACATTCCACTCTATAAGAGTTCAGTATCACGTACCCTAACTAAATGCAACTCTAAATATGGATTTCCAAAATAATGTTTTGTTTACATTGAAATATGAACTTCTACACAGTATAAGCAGCCTAATATGAAAATAAATCAACAGGCATTGCAGTTGGATTAATGATGCACAATGCAAATGAAAGCAATCTTAAGAGATTATGTAAGACAGTTATAGAAGTTATGAGTACCTTGTATCAGGTAACCGGTGAGCATGTTCGTTGGAGCATCAAAATCAGTGAACAGGTTAGAACTGGAAGCTTCTTTCTTGAGAAAACGTTGGTATGGTGCATAAATACATCAACTCTTCATCAAAATCCTCATTGACTTTGCCACTACCTCGAGAAAGAAAACATCTGCTTCAGAAAACATATAACTACCTCTCAATAATTTCTTCCAAACTGCCTTTCGAATCATCTCCTGGAGAAAATGGCAAATACCCCATAGCAGAGAGGAAGATTTTATATTTCACATGCACACTATCATAATGAAAAAGAAAATAATAGTGCAAGTCAAAATAATGAAAAATTGCACGGGAAAAAGCCTAAGATAATGTGATATATGGTCCAAAGAAAACTCATAATGATAGCAAAACATAATAAAGGACGAGGATGCAACAGAAGCATAACCTCCATAGGGAGTTATAGGCACCTGCTATTTAGCCTTAGTTCCATCATGTGCACAGAGAGGTCAATACAACGGCGCCGGCGGCGTGCAAGCTGGGAAGAATAAATCCCAACCAATTCCTCATGTTGCTTCGAAAACAAAAACATCGCATACCTGTTATCAGATGGTCCAACTCAGAAAATTATAAATATAGAAACCTGGACCTCAAAATACAAAAGAGCATCGTCCTGATTTTCAAACAAAATTAAGAAAATAAAATTCATATAGGATAACCGATACTACGGTCAACCATATAGAAATATCACGATTGTAACAAACACAAATGATGGAACTGTACACAGCCCGACATATTCTAGACAAGCTCAGTAATCTGTATCTTTCCAGGAATTAAAAGAAAAATTCTAAACTCTAAGCACAGTTTGGCAAAAAGGCACAGACATCTAAAACAGCTGGGCTTGTAATTACTTACATGTGTATAATGTGATCACCAACAATCATAAGCTCCTCCCTAATAGGATTCTTCATTTCATCAGTAAGTAAATATCTAAGCACAAGCACTAGATGTGCACCAAATCAGATCATCTGAGGATCACCATAAGGCCTGAGGGGAACCAAAGTGATTGTTCAGCAAAATGATTCAACCAGCCAAAAAAGTAAAATAAAATAAAAAATAAAGAATCCAGTGAATTTGAAAAATAGAATTTAAATGCACTTCATGACTATTGATCCATCTAATTCTGGCAATGGCCTAAGATCTCTAAGGCAGTAACTGCCTTTAATGAGTAGTTTTCATTTGCCGAGTTGCCTAAGTCTTTTTGTCTTTTTAAATCCAATTCCAAATTTCTCAGTCTGAAACTATGCTACCAAAGGAAAGAGGAAGAAGTCGCCAATTACTATGACGGACAACGGATGGGGTGTCTATAGACATAATATCTAGCCTCAAAAACATTTAACAGCAGATGACCTGAAGACATTTTGATCATCTTCTGAAGGTGAAATCCAGGACCATAGAAGTTCCAGAAGATGTGGTATGTTCCCTAACATAAGCTTCATCTGTCGAGCAATGTGCAGTTAGAGACAACAAACCATAAGTTTCAATGAAGTATGAAAAGTTACATTCTTACTCAAAAGATAAACAACATATAGAAACCATAATCTAATATTTAGGATAAAATTAAAAGGAAAGCAAAAAATATGAAAATTAAAAAAGAGGGATAAAAACTTTCTAATTTCCACCACAGATATACTAGCCGACAGAAGGGGAAACTAGGATTTAATGGTACATCCATGCAGTTGAGATCAAAGATCCTTGAGTTAAACTGAGTTGAGATCTCTTTCTTTCACATGGAAGGCAACTAAAAGACGAAGTCTTTAACAATATACAAGTCTTTTTTACAATTACACCTGTGTTTTCAGCCATTATATATGTAATAAAAGTAGTATAGTGCCCTTGAGCTGCAAAGAATACAATCACAATCTGATTAAACCAAATGCTAGAAGGCAAACCTTCCACTTTGCCATTGTCTCTCAAATGGTATTTTTTTCTAAATTACTTCAGGGAGAAACATGATTAGTATGTCCAATTCTATCTCTTTACATCTTCCATCAATCCAGAACCAATCTTCATAAAATCCAGATGGATAAAGGAAGCCAGAAATTCAGTACGGCAAAGTAACTTGGCAATGAAAATAAAAAACACAAGTCCTTGAGACAAACCTCAATTTGTCGTTGCTGCTCCTTGCACCCTCAAGCAACAGCCTCATGTACCATTTCTCTAAATTTAGCAGAAAAGATGAAGATGCCCTATATGAGCAGCACAAAAAGGGGATAACAACATTCAAATAGAAAACACATTGTCAACGAACCCTGAATGGAGTTTTTGAAGAAGAGAAGAAAGATCTCTTGGTTGCTGGTTCAGAACTTGCAGTGGCCAACTGTCTGGTCCAACCACGGGCTGAGAGGTGCTGCTCATTTGTCCCGAATTTCCTTCAATATCATCTCCATAACTTTTTAACTGTTCCATTCTACCCGGTTGTGAATGAGCGAGTTCTAGGTCCACTTGAACATCAAGCCGTCACCTTGCGCCATCGCCCAGCATGCAGACTGAAGAAATAGATGCATTAGATTTCAGAATAGAATCATCATAGTAAGTGATAAAATATTATATGAAATTAGACAAAGTTTCACAAAGTAAGAATGCTAAGGAGTCAGCTACGCTGGACACCTCTTCAACAGAATCTTGAATAAAATTTAAGAAAAATATTGAAATGCAGCAGAGGGGCAATCTTTAAAAGTTCCTTTATACCTCCCAGTCCATACAGATTGGAAGCATGTGCTTTAAGTTGCTACACTGGGCAGCATATACAGCTGTTTCATATTTACCACCATCCTGTTCAGAAATTTTCTTCAAAACAGAGGGAGGAAAATTTCTGTTAGTTCAAGAAACTGAAGACTCACAGAATCTTTATGGAGGTAAAACTCCTACTATGAAAACAAAGCACTGCATACATTCTCAAGGGTTTCNTTTATACCTCCCAGTCCGTACAGATTGGAAGCATGTGCTTTAAGTTGCTACACTGGGCAGCATATACAGCTGTTTCATATTTACCACCATCCTGTTCAGAAATTTTCTTCAAAACAAAGGGAGGAAGATTTCTGTTAGTTCAAGAAACTGAAGACTCACAGAATCTTTATGGAGGTAAAACTCCTAGTATGAAAACAAAGCAGTCCATACATTCTCAAGGGTTTCCACAGCAAAGTGTGTAAAATTTAACTCAAAAGGCCTCATAAAATAATTCAGAAATCTTGCCTACTCTAGAGAGACAAAGAACAGCATGATCAGATAAAGAGGATAGCAAGCAACGGGAATAAGCATTAAATGTTTACAGCACTCAATGTAATAATACAAGAAAGCTCTTTGATGGCTGTTTCAAGCATACCTCTGATGTACAATAGGAAGCCCATTTCCAAAGACGCCACTGGTGACCAATACCACTTTCCAGTTCAATGGCTTGAAGAGTTCTATTTTTTCCATTCTTCACCAGGGCTTCAGCAGATGGAAATAGGTCTGTTCCTCCAAACGGGCATAACGTGGCAGCTCTCCATGGCTGCCAAAATTGGAGTATCTATGATGCCAGAAAAGGGAAATAAAACAGGAATTCTGCAATCAAAACTTCTCAAAAAATTCATACCTGTCCAGCAGATCGACAAAGGTCACATGCCTCCTCCAGTCTTCCAGCCCTTAATAGAGTCCAGACATCTTCAAGAAGGGATTCATCTAGCTTCTGTAGACACAAAACTGTTAATGCTACCTTAAACCAGAATTAGATGTTTAAGAAATGCTCCTGTCACAAACTGGAACGACAAAATCTCACCCACATTGTATATTGCAAATCAAAAAGTTCAACTATGAGTAAATTTGAGATCTAGAAAAAAGCATGAAAATGGTGCACTTCCTTTTGGTTGCAAGGAAACATTTTAAGAAACTGATTGCCAATGTACTTGCAGCAGAAATATGAAAAGACATTGGTTTCTATAATGCAACAAGGTGGGTCGAGCTAGTGTCTTATGTTTAAGACACCACTTCCTGTGAAATAGCAAAAACATGCTTCATTCTTCACATACAAGGAGACTGTTACCATACTTAAACTATAATGTATTTAATAACATCCTTTCATGCATTGATCTCTTCTCTAAACATTCCACTCTATCAAGAGTTCAGTATCACAGTACCCCTTAACTAATATGCAACTCTAAATATGTTAGATTTCCAAAATAATGTCCTTGTTTACATTGAAATATGAACTTCCATACATGGTATAAGCAGCCTAATATGAAAATAAACCCAACAGGCATTGCAGTTGGATATAATGATGCACAATGTCGAAATGAAAGCAATTTTAAGAGATTATGTAAGACAGTTATGAGAGTACCTTGTCATCAGGTAACTGGTGAGCATGTTCACATGTTGGAGCATCAAAATCTAAGTGGTGAACAGTGTTAGAACTGGAAGCTCCTTTCTTGAGAAAACGTTGTGTATGGTGCCAAATTCCAGAATTGGGAAGATAGGTACCCACATGAGATCCTCAAACCTGGAAATAATAATTAATTTGTCAAAAAAAAAATGCAGTTGACTAACACTCTTCATACATGATAAAAAATATTCAGTGCAAAGTCTCTTGCCCTAGAAGATGAGTAACCCAGTGATACAGAGTAAAATAATTGCATGCGAAGCAGAATAGAGGACCAAATTTTAAGATCTATGGTATCACAAACCAATGTCTAAAATATTCATCCAGTAAAAAGACATCTCAAACCCATAAGACAATAGTCCTAATATAATATAAAATTCCACTAAAAAAGGTATGCCATATTCCAACATGCACAATTTCACAACCTAATCACCTTGCTTTCCAAGTCAAGAGCTTTAGAAGCTAATCCTTCAAGCCATTGAACAATCCGAAGGCATAATTGTGCTGTATGGTCATTCACAACAAACTGGCAAGCATCTATATGTGATGTTGAAGGTAACTGTTATAATTAAATAGATTTAAATCAGGGTAAACCTTCAAAAGTAGATAGATGGTCCCTATTAATAACAAAAGGAAAAATATGCGCACCAGGATATGATCTTCAGGGGGTTCTTCAGTCCCTGCAGGAACAACCATAATTGTCATACTAAAGACCCTAAGTTCATACGACAAGGTTTGCAGACAGTGAAAAACTGAAGAGGAAAGTTAACATCAAGGGGATGACATAGCACCCAACACATACATACATGAACCAGGAAGAAATTTCCATGCTGATAACTACAGGGGAATGAATATCTTCGAATACATTTAGCAGATAAATGTATATCAAGGAAGAAAAAAGAAGACCAAAAAGCATACTGGATTTACATTATGCAGAAGAAAAAAGAATAAGATTATGTGTTATATTACTCTTTCCGAAGAAATTACTTATTTATCAACTAAATATCAATTGTAGCTGAAAATGTTTTAGAGGTAAAGATATATTACCTTTTCCGTATAGGTACCACAGAATAGACCACGAAGCAAACTCATCAAGCAGGAGCTGAGCCTTCTGCCTCATCAACTTGTCCTCCACAACCCTCAACTGTATGTTGGACCCATACCTGCAAAGCCAACAAACAAAATGAAGTCAAATGGCCCCCCCAAAACACTGATATTACCTAATAAGCTAAAGACTTTATCCAATATACTCCATGAAGTAGATAGCAGTAAGTATTCCATTTATATCTAAAAATGAACAAGAAGATGCAATGAATGAGGTCAATCATTTCCAACTAGCTACAATGCCAGTGTATTTATTAATGTAACCAGGGATACAAATCAATTTGACAAAAGGGAGAATCTCAGACACTACCTTAGTAATAAGGAAAAGATGTAAGCTACTGTAATTTTGTCCATACCATGACATCAAATGTCATGCATACAAGAAATACAGAACCTTGAAAGAGCATAATAGCACTCACCTAATCGATTCAGATACATTCCGGCATGATCTTTCAAGACTTAAAATCAGATCTTGTATAGGCATTAACTCTGCACAACGAAAATTCAAGTAAATGTAAACTGAAAAATGCTACTCTGAGCTATGGGCAGGGTGAAAAACCACAAACAATGTGAAAGTGAGCAGTTGAGAGCAAAAAGAATATAATTTTAAGCACAGCATCTCCTGCATAACAACAAATGTGCTTCTTTGAATAATTTCCTTATGCTCTCTACAACTGTCTACCATTCAATCAAAAATAGAAACACCAGTACAGGATCTTATAAACGCAATATAAATATATATCCTCAGGAAATTAGGATTTAAATTATCTAAAGCCTGGTGTTGATAAAATATACCCTCCCCTAAAACAAATGAATAAACCAGAAATAAAAAGGTTTTGCGGAGAGTTTTTCGCAGAAAAATTAAAGGAAGGCCAACATGAAAATGTTTATGACAAGAAGGAAAAAAATATGCAGTCTAAAAAAGCTCAAAAGATATATGTCAATCTGCATAAACATTTTCTGCAATTAGTCCAGCATTTCCTAGAACTCACACAATATTTTAGTGTAACAGTTTAACAGACTATTTAACTTTATTAGCTCCCACCTCCCTGAAACAAGCAAAATCAATTAATAAGGCCACTCAAACAAATCCCAAAAAACTAATTACTTAATAAATTATATCATTATGACAAAGTTTTAAAATAAATAAATAATGATCTCAATTATAGCACTCTATACGCAGAATTTTACTTCAAGCACCTTGAAGAGCAGAATCCAGTAGAGATGCAAACAGAGCAAAGGTTGTCTCTCCACTATCTGCCAATGCGTCATTCTCAATCTTGCAAGCTTTTAGTGACTGACTTCCTACGTGGATTGAACCAATGAAGAAGCTGAGACAATGCAAAAATAAACATTTTCCCATAAATCATGCCCCGATTTCAACCCATTCCTTTTTTTTTTTCTATTCGTTCTCTTCAATTTGAGGATTTCGTTTCCGGTTTTTCCAATTATCACTCTTAAAGGTTTCAACTTTCATCCTTTGCCTTTCTTTAAAAGTGTTATGACAAAGGAACAGTCCATGGTGATCGAAGCAAAGAAGAAGTGGAACACTAAAGCTGAAACCGCGAACATTGTTTACTTCTACAGCTGAACGAACTTAAATTTCATACAACTCAACTCAAAAAAATAATCTACACTCTCAAAAAAAATATATATATTAAAAAATTTTACCCGTAACGACGAAACTGTTCCCTGATGGAGAGATCTTCCGGGTCCAGGAAACTAGAAGAGGTCTCCATATCAACCTCCATTACGCCGTGACGAAAAGACAGCGTCTCAGAGTTTCGAAAAAACCCCGACTGTAACTTCAACCTAAACCCTATGGGAAAGCTTAAAGAGCTCTTGCCGGGGCTTTCGTTTTATTAGCAAAAGCCTAAAAGAAGACGATGAACCCAAACGACAGCGTTTAAAGCTGGTTATTATATATAAAAACGCACCGTTTTTCCCTGGAGAGGTAAGTTTACGAATCTGGGCCCTTTGTAACTTGAATTTTTATAATTTTGTAAATTATAGACTTAATAACAATAATGTCCGTAAGATATAATCAAAATAATTAAGTGAATATTTAAAAACCCATTATATTATAAATTTTAACCATCCATTAATGGTTGACTAATGTGGAGGAGTTATATTATTTTTGAAATTTCAAAAGAAATTTAGTCTTTTGATTAAACCTTAAGATCAAGAAAACCTCTAAAATATATGAAAAATATATTGTAATTAACTAATTTTATTATTTTATCCGTTACCATAAAATTAAAAGATGAAATTATCAATATTTGATATGTTAATTCTATGACAAAACAATAATTTGTTAGTATATCAAATATTACTCCAAAAATAAAACCAAGAATGCAGTATATCCTATCTATATATCTTACAACTATTTCAAAATCAGAAAAGGTCTCCCACGGTTATGAGACATCTGATACTGTTCGGTCATGCCAAAATGAGCCATATATGAGAAAGAAGCTCTCCCCCTCGTCTTAGGTGATGAGCATGTTCACTTCCTCTACCTTGACTTGCCACATAACATACCATTTCAACCCAAACATCTCTAACCATCTTCCATTTATCTGATATTTTCATTAACTCTGATGCAAGCTTGTGCGCATAATAGAATATGGATTTGATTGCGTCTTCTTTCACTTCAATGCTGAGTTCAAGTAAATCTGTCCAAGCCGGAATTCTTTTGTCACCATTATCTCCAGTGTTGTGTTCAGTTTCATTTGATGGGTCGAAACGCTTAATGGAGATATTGTGTTTCTTGAAATATTCCCTGACCTCAGAAAGAGTATCCCGACGCCTGAGTACACCCCCCACTCCAACTGGCAACAGTAAAGGATTCTGAACAAGGAGATACATCATATATTTTGACAACACCATGCCCATCTCAGCAACAGTACTGCTATTATCAGTTTCGAGCACTCTTGAATTCTGATAATAGCAAAGTTCTGTTGCAATGTGCCAGATAAGGATACTTTCGCCAAAGTCCATCTCAACACTCCATTTAAGCATACTATGATTTTCAAGAGCACGGCTTCCCCTTGTCATCCTGAGGTTTCCTCTATTCTCCTTAAATTCATCAACATCCTTCTTGACATGGTTGAAGATCAGCTCTTGCAATTCTCCGGGATTCGTTGCGCTTCCTCTATGTTCGTTAACTCGATCATGCTCCCTCTTCACATGATTGAATATCAGCTCTTGCAATTTTCTAAGATTCGTGTCGCTTCCTCTATTCTCCTTGAATTGTTCATATTCCAACTTGACATGGTTGAAAATCAGCTCTTGCAATTCTTCGGTCACCTGTGTATAGGACGTTTTATATCGGCGATTTTCCAGTAGTTTATCCCTGTACTGGTTCATTTTCAATAGTAGTTTATCCGCAAACCGTTGTTTTTTAAGTAGTCTGACCTTTTGACGGAGCCCCGGGATTTGACATGCAAAGACTTGTAAAACTGTACTGCCCAATGGAATTTGACCACCGTGGTAGTGAAAGCATTGGTTCCAAAAGATACATGGGTTGTAGGATGGTACTGATCTTGTTCCGCACAATGAACCAATGTCCAGATTGATCAGAGAAGAGCAGAACAAGAGCAGCGTATATCTCCAGAGCAAGAGCTATACCCAGCAACAAGAAGGTTAACTAAACATCAAAATTGGAATATTTCTGCTTGTCAAGGAAACAGAAAATCAACAACACAAAACTGGTGAGACAAGTAGTGATAAATCAGCGAATTAGACCCCCACAAGTATGAATTACGATGGCCTTGGTATATAGCAGATCATACAGGAAAAGTTTGAGGACATTTTTTTTTTACTTACAAAAATGTCCTTCCTCATCATCATCATCATCATCAATGCTATGCTGCGACACTTGCAAATATCAATGCTATGTAGACGTCGGCTTCAATTTTCTTTAATACAATATCAATTTTACTGCTTTTAGATTACAAAAATATAAGAAATCATTGAAAAAATGAGATCGAAGGCAATCACAACAGATAGGAATACACAGGAAATTCTTTATAAATATGACCAATACATGTCTTCAGAATTGAAATTACAATTTGAGATACAAAAAAGTAAATGAAAATTACAAAGTGAAACAAAATGATTCACAAAAGCATCTCAACATCAGCTCTATCTCCAAAATCAGATTCAGCAGCCAAAAACAAATCATTAGTGCTCTCAAACTCATACTCAATACTGTGATTGAATTGTTGATGCTTCAAGCAAATAAATGCTGCCAGGGCATACAAACAGCAATGGCACTGTCTGAATCCTGTGGCAGCGTGTGTTGCCAAACCTCGCAAATTTCACATGCCGCCATTCTTTTGCATCAACGTCTTCAGCCCCACATTCACATTTCACCTTCCAATTCTTATCTCCTCCTTCATACTTATATTTTGACTCCAAATCTATCCCATCTCCTCTCACAATAATTTCAGCTCCCGACTCTATTGCTATCCTCCATTCCTCCAATGTTTTCGATATCTGTTACCACTACTTTCTCCATGATGCAGTAAGTATCTCTCAGTGCTGTTTCAATGGCTTTCTTCAGCTCCAAAATCATCGCATCCAACGGAACCATTACCAGCTCCCCAGGTGTTAAATTGGATTTTTCGTCGATCGAATTTGGTATTATTTTGCACATAAATCTCAATACCTGGTCTTGTTCATCCTTAAAAGGCCATTCCTTTACAAAGTGTTTGCTATCAAGAACTGCTTGGCTGTTCACAAACACCGGATTAGGTCTCCGGTCATTCAAAAGCAGATTCCTGTACAAATACACAACTTCACTGCTATCAACAGCTCCAGGCTTAATAGTTGGCGGTAGAAGGTGGTGTCCGAGAATTTTTGGTTCTGGCTCAAAGGCTTCAGGTTCTTCACCATTACCAAGCTCATGAATTGTGTATTCTAGTATTTGAATGCTTGGATTCCTTGCACGACACACAAAATGACGTCCAAAAATTACGTTCTCAATAGATTTCAATACATAATCAAGTAAATCAGTATCGCCAATTTGATTCTTGGCTGCTTTGCTTACTTTTGCTTGACACATGTGACCAGAATTCTTCGCTTTCATTTCTAACAACACATTCACAATCACTTCTGCTGCAGATTGTAGTTTTTTTGCAGACCATCTACATGTCATATGAGCAATCAAATTAGTGAACAATTTAGGGGCCTTGTTTGGAGACTTATCCTTAACTAGAGACTTATTTCCTAGGGATGTCCTCTTTGAAGGTTTTGAGATAGACAATGAAGGGGCATTGTTTGGAGACTTATCCTTCACTAGAGACTTATTCCCCAGGGTCCTCTTTGAAGGTTTTGAGATAGACAATGAAGGGGCGTTGTTTGCCATGATTGATTTTATCTGAGCAGAAGCACAATACTTGAAAATTAACACAAACCTGAAAAGATCTTTCACTGTGATCAGTTGGGTTTCACTCATATCTCTGTAGCACTGAACTATTTGCTTAATTTTTATCCCCTTCTTGGTGTCTCCAAAATCTTGGATGATCCTATCAAGTTCCAAAGAGCCAAGGATTTCAATTGCTCTGTTGTAGTGGCACTCTTCAACTCCAAAGCTTCCATGGTAGAATCTGTATCCCCATCTACCAAACCATGGATGCCCATATGCAACTCCATGGAGTAGGCAAAGATCCATGGATTTCTTCTTTGACACATCTTCAACACTGATTTTCCTGCCATAACTAGCATTTGTTAATATTCACAAACACAAAGAAACTCAACCAATAAGGGAGTTTAGATTTACCTGGGCTGAAGAATTGTACAAATTCGGTCCCAGAGATCCATGATTTCTCTTCCGCAAAGATACTTAGAACCTCCTTCAATCCCATTAATGCAGAGCATATGGCCAGACCCATTACAATGAATTAAGCCGTGCAAGAGATGATTCTTTCTCTGTATATCCTCATCCTTCAATTGCTTCGTCCAGTCATTATCATGCGGTATAATCACATGATACTTCCTTTTTGACACAATATGATTACTCCAATCTAATAACCACAACGAAACTTCAAATTTTCAATCAAACCAAAACAACAGCAAACTGAACATAAAATGGAGCTTAACCAGTGCTAATAAACAATTCCAACAGTAGGTCACTGCAGAGAAAATACATCCAAAACTTAAACCCACAACCTAAAACAATAAAACAACAAAAACTAAGCCTAAAATCTGAAAATTAACCAAAAAAAAAAAACCTTCGGGAAATGAGTCACGGAACCAACACTAATTGAGGCCAAATATAAAAAGTAATAACAAAACAATTGAAAGGAACTAGAACCCACTTGGTAAATAAATTCAAGAACAAAAACAATAGAAGGCTAACCGGCGCGTCTGCAGTGACCACACAAGGGCTGAGGAGAGTGCGCTACAGTGTCTCCAATGGTATAAAGGGGGATAACAACATTGGCAGAGTGGCAAACAAGAAGAGTACACCAGATGGGCATGCCTTTAACACTGTCGTCTTCAAGCTCGCCACATTGTCTCAGAAAGAGACGAATATTATCCCGAAAAGCACCCGTGGGAGTAATGGGGCAACCTGAGTCGCCAAACTTGTGAAAGTCGAACAATTTGAGCCCTTGTTTCTCTTCCTGGAAGATTGAAGAATCGGGATCGACATTTTTGAGAGATTTTGGTTCTTGATATCTTGCACCTGAACCAGTTTTCACTTTCCAGAAGAGAAAAAGGAACAAGATAGAAATAAAGAAAGTTGCCGGATACTGCTCAGAAATAATGAAGGTGCTGCTAGGACACAGTGAGAGCTAGTCTCATATTTTCGGAATTAGGGGGTACTTCGTAAA